AATAATAAATAAACTTTCTATATATATATTATATATATATATTTCTCTAGAAATAATTTCGTAAGATTTATGTTACGTCAGAAGTTTCTGTTGTTTTTACGTCAGAACAAAGTATTAATAGAATTTAAAAAAAAAAAAAGATTGATTTAAAATAAAATTACTGATTTTTCTAGCGCAATTTATCCGTTATAAATGCGAAGTATGATATCATAAAACTGTCAACAATCAAATATTCGATTTTTATAATAAAAAAAAAAGAAAGTCTATGCAGTTCTTACAATTGATTTCCTTTCTGTACAGAAAAGAGATTGCTAGACTTCCCTGTCACAGTTCAGAAATCGAGACGATTTGCTGCAGTCAGCATTTTGTTTCTTTAAGAATAAAAAACAAATTTTTTTAATATTTTGCTCTTCTTAAAATATTAAAAGAATTAAATTCTAACGTAATAACACGTAGAAAAAAATTATAGAAACATATAAGCCATATATATGTATATATGTGATGGTAAATTGAATCTACTTCGATAAGACACGTTCAGATGTGACTGCTATCTTATCAGTAAAATCAATGCCCTAGCCCTATAATGATGAGTATTGTTACCATGGTAACATCAAGTGTTGCCAGTCATTCCAAGGTTGCTATGGTAACCAATCACGTGTTGGTATATATACTTCTTGTATAACATTCTTACTAATTATAACATTTAGCGTAACATCATTAAAGATAGCTTTTATAATCTTTTTTTTTTCCTCACTCGATTAAAAAGTCAAAAAATTTAAAATATATATAATGGTATATAAATTTCATAATTATTACCATAATTCAAATGTAGAACTAAGAGAGATATTTTTAGAGAATTCAAGAATGGAGAAGGGTTTTTGCGGGCTCGAAAGATGCGCTGAGCTTGTAACCAGATAGCATAGTGTTATGGTAATATTAACGTAACAAAACTTAGTTAATTCGATATTTTAAACGATTTCCATGCTTAATTCCTCATCAGTAGAGTTTACAGTTTGAGAATAGACTGCAGCAAAATGCAATGTAATCGGTAAGTAGACAGACATCTCCCTTTGGGAAAGAGGCAGAAACTTTAATACCCTAGCAGGAGTGTTTTGGAACCAAGCCAAAAATCCAACCTATTTGCCGCAATATAACATGGAGGCTATCGCCGTACTGCGGCAGCATTCTGCATTCATAAAAGTTACAGAGTCTAAACAAATAAAATATTGTATAAACAAACATACCCCGGTATGGTAATTGGCAAAGTTGATACGGTAACGACAACGACAACAACACAAGGTTTCGAATGGAATTGATCTTTTACAATGGCCCTCACAAATGACGTAAGAGGAGGGCAGAGTTAGATAGACGAAAACTTTGGAAAGAGTTTGTCGTTCCACTTTCCGAAAGTTGCACAGAGTTTGTTGGAGTTACTTAAACTCATCAATTATTTAGAAAAACGAGTGATGCTGTGCAACGAAATTACTATTAAAGGATAATAAGAACGCATGCGCCGAAATAAATAACAAAAATTTAGAATAAATAATAAAATTTACCTTTATCTTATATGTAATTTTTACGGTAAATGATGTACGATGTGGCTTACCTTGAAGATAGAGATAGAAGGGACCAGGAAGGGAGGGTAGAGCGTGCTTCCCAGATAGGGACCCGGGCGATGACAGTCGTGCAAGCTACAACACTATGTGTGGGCAGGAATGCAGTCGGCCTCTCTGACGAACCAATATGTGCCGGGCAAGTCTTGTTTGCAGCCAATCAATATAAGGCTCTATGGACTCATTGCTAGCCACGTGGATTCTACTGTGGATGGACTCTCACTTAAACATACGTAAATAAATATTCTGCATGTTGTCTTTTTATCTGTTTCTTCGATTATTGACATATTAAACACTTCGACATAATCGAATTATTTCTCTGCACGCGTCTAACTTTATTACATTCTCGTTGTTCCATTTTAAAAATATTTAGTTTTAATATCGTAACTTTAAATTTGTTTTGTAATTGAATCTACTTCGATAAGACACGTTCAGATGAGACTGCTATCTTATCAGTAAAATCAATGCCCTAGCCCTATAATGATGAGTATTGTTACCATGGTAACATCAAGTGTTGCCAGTCATTCCAAGGTTGCTATGGTAACCAATCACGTGTTGGTATATATACTTCTTGTATAACATTCTTACTAATTATAACATTTAGCGTAACATCATTAAAGATAGNTTAACATTTTTAAAATTTTCCTTTATTTCACATTTAACTTTAATTATTCTTTCATTAAATTATTTTAAAATCAATTTTAAATGCTTTAATTTAGAATTAATTTCAAGTTTTTATTGTTTATTATGAATATAAAGCTGGTTAGAAAATTCAATAATAATAAAAAGAAAAAGAAAACTCAGTTTACTAGAAAATAAAATAAATCAATTATTCAAATTATTTGTATAAAAATTCATTTTTGTTTTTAAATTATAAAATTTCGGCTCTTTGCAGTTTCGTTCTATTGATTCAATATATTAATTTAAATTTCAATCAAATTAATTTTAATAAATTTATATAAGTATATAAAATTTTAATATTAATTTTGTTGTAAAAGAGAAAATTTCTTTTCTATTTGCGATAAATAATTAAATTTTATTACATTTTGTTCGCAGGAAAAAAATAAAAAATAATTTCGTGATTTTCATTTTTCGTACAGAAATATCAAATTTCACTCCATTTCGAACGATAGGAATAATGTCAGAATATAACCAAGTGGAGAAAATATGAAAGAGATCGTGTAGAGAAATATCTGTTCTATATTTTTCAACAGAACTTTTTATGTGTTTCTAAATTATGGGATATATTAAATTTAGTAACTACGCTCGATTTTAAACGACGTGTTTGTATAAAATATCGAAATATTTAATTTATTGTACTAATATTTAGTATTTAAGTTATAAAGTCTACAGATTTATAGATTTATTTTATTTTACACTCTCAAAGTTATGTGAAAAATCTGACAAGAGTAGTATACTATTTGATGATGTTCGTCTTCCCTGCAATACATCCGTCTGTACCAGAAAGTGTTATTTACAGGGGCTATCTATCATAGGAATGCTTCGTCTTGCTCGATAGGAATATCGAATATTTTTATTTAAGACATTAATATATAATAAAATCTAAAGAGTAGGAGATCTAAAAGCTATTTTTCAAAACATATTCATGTTTTGATAAGAAATTTACAGACGAAAATAAAAGCTTTGCATTATACTATGTATTATTTAATATGTAAATTTTACTATTCTTTGAATAAGCTTATTTCTATTGCAGATCACGCTTTTTCTCAGTAATATTTTTTCCTTTTGACTTCAATGAAAGATTTCTTTTTACATCTTATAATGTAACTGATATCGACACTCGAAAATCATAATTCGTGAGGTGAATCCCAAAGAAGATAAATCTTCTTGAATACTGATAAATGTGAAAAATTGGGAGAAGATGCTATAAAATAATCCATATTATTTATCAATGGATAGACAGTCTGTTTGCCTGTCTGTATAATAGTACGTTGAGTGCTGGAAGAATTATGTCAGACAAAACCGTAGACGGGGAGGATTTTTCTTATGCCAGGTTTTTGTGATGAAACATGTAAAAAGTGACATTTCTAAATATGTTATTTCTTACTTTTTGTTTAGTTTCGTCGCTGTGTTTGTGACTTGTTTCCTGTCAACAGCAGAACAATGCTGAATTTTGCTTGCTGCAAGCATTTTCACCAACAGTTTTTCCTTTATATTGATGGCAAACTGATGGACAGCGTATAATATTTCCCTCATTTTTTTATAAGGAGAAAAAAACGAAAAAATACTTTCCTAGCGCTCTTACTGAAATATCTGACGAGTAATTCATTTCTGAAGGATTTATATTTTACAAATTAAAACCTAAAATGCTATATTAACAGGTTTCATTTTTAATATTAATTAAATAAATCTAATTAATCACCATTATTTTCACTTTTTTCAGAAGAGTTTTGTCCTCGTTAATTAAGGAGACTCATTTGTATCCATTAAATGTTATTAATTAATCGATTAGAGAAACTTAATATTTAAAATTTTTATAAATAAATAGTGCAACTGTATTCTCGATAATTCACTAGATATATACATATATTTAAATAATAAATCAAAACATCTCTTTCATATATAAATGAACGAAACAGAATAACTAAAATATGAATATACATAAAAAATTTAAATAAATGCTTGAATATAGAAAATCAATTTTATTAATTTAATATATTACATATATAAATACATTTTATGATATAAAATACAAAACTACACAAAGTATAAATATTTCATATGATTATTATTAAAAACAAAAACTGAATGATCGATATAAAATTTGTCTAGGGAGATATATATATAAAGCATAAAGGTTTTAACTAAAATAAAATCTTATATTTAATAAATATTTTAAATAAAATACAATATAAAAATATTCTACTGTTTAAAAGTAAGATATTTCTTTAATACTTTTCGAAACTAAATTGTTCTAGAATTCCTCTCTAGAATTTTGTCAAGAATAGTTCTTCTCTATAAGAGATTCTGAACAAAATAAAGTGTGTTCTTGAAAATGCTCTCAAAACTCTTTTCCCTTTTTTTAAAGATTGTTTTAAAACTAAAGTAAACTTTATATATATTTCTATCTAGGAAAAAAAACTAAGCATTTTATTTCTATTCTGAAATTAAATCTTCCTTTTAAAAGAATTTAGAGAGAAAATTCTTTAAAAAAGTTCTCTTCAGTTCCAAACTAGTTCTTAAATGCAAATGTTCTAGAATTACGCTCTACTTTAAAATCTAGGTCTAAAATATCTTTTAGACATTAAAAAAATATATTTTTTAAACCAATTTCATTTTTAAGAATTGTTTCAGAATAAAGTTATAATATAACGCTTTTTTTAAATAATGTTTTTGTTCTAGAATATTTCTAGAAAATTTTAAACTTGAAAATTTATATATTGCATGTTTTACTTTATGTCTTCGATGTCTACTTTTTTAGTTGTTTACTTTTTATATTTTAATGGTGTTTTTATTGTATTGTTTTTCACGGGTGGTGGTCAGCCAAGACTTATCAAATCTGGCAAACTTTGCTTAATGTAAAAACCATTTTATAAACCTGTTAAAAAGTAGATATACTTTCAAAAACTATAAATAAAACAAAAATAAATTTTCTTTCTACTACAGAACTCGAGCTCTTTCGTATTATCATTATTTAAAAATTCTTAGATAAAATAACAGAATTGTAATCTTAATTGTTAAATATTAATTTGTCGTTTCTATCAATAATAAAAATAATTTGTTAAAATAATTTGCAAAGTCTTTACACATCCAAGGGGAAAAAATGACTTTTATGACAACTTTTAACAATGACCGACAAGGACATCGGTCGCAAACAACTCTATGATTGTCTACTTAAAGCTAAAGCTTGTTACTGTCCAGAAATGTCCTCTTCTCTCCACACGACAATGCAGGGTCACAATAGTGGTCGACAGCAAAGGATAGTTAAAAGCCAGGAAATATTGAGCTTAATGAAGGCTTCGCTCAGCAGTCAGTAAATGGGGGTATATCCAGTCGATTGAAGATCGAAATAGCTCAGTTTAGAGATGTTTGCAAACACTTTACGCCATTAAAAATACCATGTACGAAATTCTCGTCTCGATAGGTGAGCGTTACGAAGCAGATTTTCGCATTATTTTATACAACGTCGTTAATAATGTATTTATCGTGCGTAAATAATGGAAAAATTCGATATATTTTTAAAGTTAAATTTTCTTTCTGAAAGATGATATGTTATATATATATAAAGACAAGTCGTCTTGTGACCTAGAATCAAGAATCGATCATTTTTGCTTGCTATCAATATGACCAATTCTGAGTATAACATATATTGGAAATGTGTATTTTATTCGATAAACTAATATTGGTTCGGATGCATAAAAACAAAAAATGTATTTTATAACTTCTAAAATTTATTGTAGGTTGAAAAGCATTACAAAAATCGTTTTTTCCCGTGTTTTTTAACGTATAAAGAAAATTCAAATAATAAAATATTACTTTATCGCAGCTCAACAAAGCTTTCTTTCATCTAGCAGCAAGACATGAATCATCCACTGCATATTTATCCCGCTTCTCATCATCTATATTTGGTCCTGGCACTGAAGATTATTATAATATGGATGTTATATAATTAACTAGAAAATATTTAATATATTGAATAGATTTTAGTATTCAGAATGATATATTTATTCTGTATTTACGTTTGTTGAATATGTAAGTTGCTTTATTTATTTATAATTGAGATAAGATGACTGAGAAAGTATAAACAAAATTTAATTCTGAAATTTAAGAAATTTTACTTCATTTTCTAAGAAGCATATTTTCTTAATTACTCGTTAAATTCGATTTAATTCGTTACAAATTAATGGAAATAAATGGAAAACAATAGAAGAAATGTCATTATCGTCAATTTTCAATTTAAACTTTTTCGTAACATAATTGGAGAAATGAGAGAATATTAAATTAGCTAAAAATTGAATAAAGATAGGGAAACTTCCGATAAATAACGTAAGAATAAACAAATTAAGGAAGGAGAAATTTGTTACAAATTATTTTTTAATAATTTCCGATATAATTATGCAGAATTCATCAAATGAGTACTACTGTTTTAATTTGTTTAAAATGAATCTTTTAAATA